TTACCATTAATTAGTCTGATGCGGTAAATTTCCAATGTCTGTTTAAAAAAAAACAGTAGCCTGAAGGGCTGAACTCAAACATCATTAAAATAACAATCCTTGCATTTGATATAGCGCCTTATATCATTGAAATGTCTCAAAGCTCTTCACAGGATTTTACTGTGAAGAGTCGAGACCATGTATTCGTGGACAAACGCAGCAGCCAATTTGAACACAGTAATGTTCCACAAACAGCCATGAAATAGGGTGTGAACAATTTTATTTGGAGGCCTTTTGGCCAGGACACCAGGAGAAACTTGACTAGAAAGGTAGATGCTGAGAACAAAAAATTAGAAAATAGGGTTCCACCCACAGGCTAAAGGGTAAAGTTACCATCTGCTATTGCACCATCCCAATCTCTATTGACTGCAAGTCGTTGGCTGAATTCCTGCTCTGAGCTGAGCTTGCTGACGGAGCCAGGCAGCACTCAGAACATTACAACTGACTTTCCTTGAGCAAGAGGAAAGTACTGTGTCACCACTAATGACTGCTCTGGACAGACTTAGAATATGGCCTTGAGAGCGCCTGCAACATTTCCACATTATACCATTTTGTTCATGATTTTCTACTCAACCTGCATGGCATCGAAAAAGCTGGTGTTAACACTTTATTTGCTACTTTGTACGAACCAAGTTATGCAAAGAGACCAATGTGCGCTGGAAATAGGTGTTTAGCACATGGCAGGATTATAAAACTATGCTAATTTACTGATGTTTGCCCTAGTCTATCTAACTATAGCATCAACTTCACTCTTGGGAAAAGCCCCAAATCAAGTAATTACTCATTTCTTCTCACATGAATGCAGCAGATAACTGAACATACAAAGGATATTATAGTGTACACTGGATAACTGAAAAATCTGAAGTCTGTGAATCATTAACCATTATACACCAGATAAAGACCTTCCCTTATTGATGTTTTTTCTGCAATTTGCTTCTTTGCAGTATTTTTTCTCTTTTCCCATTCTCCCACTTGCCCCACAGTGGGGTGAAACAGCGCTTGCTGGATAAACAGTGGCATAAATTAGCACCTTGAAGCTAGCAAAAAAGATGCCTTGCACTAAAGCAGGAAACTCCACATATTTCACGCTAACTCATGAGATTTTGATTCCAACATGTTCTGAAGCATCAACAACAACTTGCTTGATATAATGACCTTCGTTTTAACAATATAATGTGTGGCATCCTGGACCACTTAATAATGGCTTGGTTTGATTCTGAGATGGGAAGAAAGGGGAGGCAACTATGGACGGTTGAAGAGGAAAGTGCTCTGAGACCTTCCCTGCGTGGAGGACACTACCTAAGTGAAAGTTGTTGTTGTTGTTGTTGAAACTCTTCAGGTGCTATCTGAAGACCAAGAGGGGGCAAGGCAGAGAGATTGAGGTAGAAAGTTGCAGAGATTCGGGGTTTAGTGAAGTAGAGATCTCATTGATCGGTGTGACAGCTAGTTAATCTTAGGTAAAAGAACAGTTGGGGATTACAAATGGCTTTATTACCCTTGGGGTGCTCCTATTTGTTATCCAGAAATCCCTGCTGAAAAATAGAAGCTGTGGACATCAGAGGTGTAAAATTCCTCTGTTCTTAGGTTTAAGACCGTTGACTTTAAAACAAAACACAGTCGCTACACTTTACAGTAAATCCTGTAGGGCGCTTTGACATGAAAGGTACTATATACCAAATGGAAAAATTATTTTTACGTTTGGAAAAGTCTTACATTCAGTCTCAAGTTGGAAGCTAATGTTCTACAGTTCTTTTGGGGATTGCTGAAATCAGTCTCCAAGTTGAATTTAATGCTCCTTTCCAAAATTCTTCACGTTCTTAAAATTTAAAACGATTGCCTTAAACGTAAACACATGAGAAATCTCATGTCCTGGGTCAAGACAGAATGGTGTTTGGCAGTAACCTCTTCTTCTTCCAGCCTCCCCTCATACCCACTCAACTGATCAGTCTGATGACACTCACTCCTTTGGCTCATGCATAAAGAATAGCCACTTGGGCAAGGTACTGGAGAATAACATAAGCATGAGTCAGTGTTTATGGAGAAACTCCAATCCATTTGATGCGTGTGCTTTTAAGGCTCTGCCTATAGTTCTCTGTGACCAGCACAATGCTAAACCCATCTAGTCACCACTCCACAAGACCGCAGAGTTGAATTCAGGACTTCAACANTTTTTTTCGATCAACTGAGTGTCTGACATATAATGAAAGCCATCTCCCCGCTTAAGAGTATCCAAACCAAACAACTGAGGTTCCACATTTGCATGGAAATTTCCCTGTGACTGGAAAGGAATGTGCATTCTCTCTCCCTGGAGACACACCCTGTTCATCTAATCATGGAAATTATTAGGTGCAGGTTGGCAAGAGCCAACACTTGGGGATCCTAGAATGTGTGTTAGGATACTACTAAGAGCTTGACCAGCTAAAACAGCATAGCTGCCGTAACAAATCATCCTGAGCTGCATTGTACTATTTACAAGTCATTGGCGCTCCATTGTACCCTGTTGTTACTTTCTTGTGCAAAGTACAGAAAACAATTAGGTAGGGAAAGATTTTTAAATGAATGAGCTCAGTCCATTGATATTAGAGCAACACTGTAATAGGGTTGGCACCAAGTCACCTGCTTATTCTTGCCAGGGCTGTTGAATGACACGTGGCACCCTCCAATGCCCATAAAACAAATAATAAAATTGATTTTTGCAAAATTATACTTTCCAGTAAATGCAGGTACCTGGACATTTGATAGCTCAAACAGAATAAGTCATTTCAAGTTTGCTAGAATTAAAACAGTATGATCTCAATGTTCTTTTGGGAAAATTTGGATTGGCAGACAAGCATGTTACAGTTCACTGAGAAGCAAAATAGTTCCATTTTAAAGTAAACAGATAATTAAAATGAGAAGAAACCCCCCTAATTCAGTGGCAGGAATGAACTCCGGGTGTGCATCCTTTGGTGTAGGTTTAATTACTAATCTTGGATTCATACTCACTGCCTCGTTCCTGGTAATTTTATAGGGATCAGTTTTTATTTAAAATAGAAGACTTTAAATTTCACATTTCATTCATCCAGTGCATTTTACTGTACTGCATTGCATATTTAACCTTATAAGCAGATTAATTTGAAATAATTTCTCTATTTATGTTGTCTGCTACCCTGAATCGTCACCATGCATTTGCTTCTGAAATAAATTTCTATTTTGAGTGACATTTTCCATCAGACCTTGTAGGAGGCTGGGTGCTATCACAAGCTTTGGTGAGGAATTTTTATTAATAAGTGCAGATTAGGGTCAAGTTCCACAGTTCAGAACACCACAAAGGTTGAAAAGAGTAGGAATGCAAACAAGATAAATCAAGGGGTGATACCAAGCTTGGGTTGTAAAAGCCTGCGGACTGTAGGAAATCTGAATTACAACATTTTGGCCTGATTTGGCAGCAATGATTTTACCAACTAAGGCCATCAGAGGAGCTTTGTTTTGGCACAGAAATAGCAATAATAGTCTTTATTTGATATACCCCTTTTACTTCAGGAAAACAAGTCAAAGCACATCACTGTGAAGTGTAGTGACTCTGTATTTTGTAGGCAAACGCATAATACAGCTGTTAGGATGATATCTTTTACCTAGACTAGTGCTTTTAGGAAGCATCTTATCTTCATACACTCAGAGACTTTCAAGATTAGTAATGTGACAATGAGGGGGTGGGAGTCCAATATCTTCAAAAGGTACAAAGTGATAAGTGCACCTTACATTTTCTTCTCAAAAAGCTAAATGTAATTTCCAAAAAGCCAGAGACCAAAGCAGATGATCATAGAGAGATGTTGTTTTACTTTCTGTCCTTTCAATCCATTTAATAACAATAATAATAATCCTTGCATTTGATATAGCGCTTTTTATGTCTTCTAGATGTCTCAAATATACTTTAAAAAGAATTGACTGTATATTTTGTGGGCGAAATGCGGCAGCCAATTGCGCACAGCAGTGTGCCACAAACAGTCATGGATTGAAGTGACCAATTTATTATTGTTTTTTTTCTTGAGGGATTATTATCAGGCGGGTGTAGTAAGGAAACTTGCCCAAGGTTTCGTCCTGCCGGGAATCAAACCCAGGTCTCTCGCTTGCCAGGCGAGTGCTCTAACCACTGAACTACAGGACTCCTATTTTGGAGTGCTGGATATAAAGCATCTACTGTGTTATCGTGGCAACTTACCACAGAGGATTTACCATTGAGCTGAATCTGAAAGTAAATTAGGCCAATTTAGTGTTGCACCTTTATTATTATTCTGTTTTAACTAATTGGAAAGAGCTGACCTTAAACAATCAGCTCAAGGCAATCTATAAAAAATCTAATTCTTACTAAATCAGAAAATAGAAAGCAGAGTTTTGGGCATGCACTTTAGCCGATTCTATAGAACGCACCCAAAAAATACACAGTCACTGCACTTTTACTGGTCTCCCGACTTGAAAAGCACTGTACCAAATATTACCACTTCACAGTGATACAAGATTACAGTGTAACCATCTCTCTCTCTCTCTGATTTACATAGCTCCCAAATGCTGAGGGGCTGTTAGGCAAAGCACTATTACAATATCCTGCAACAATGGTTAGTCTGAAAGATCACATTGTATGTTTCTAATTACATCATAACCAGGATTTAGACATGCAATCATTGGAATATATTTTTCATTGGCGAACCTGGAAATCAACACCTGCTTAAATGTATGAGTCAACTTGAGCCAAATGCACTGAATTGGATACTATAAACATTTAATGTTCATAAACTGCTCAGGGAGGGCTTGGGCTGTGTTGTCAAACAGTTTCACCGACCAAATGCACAGTCAATCCACTTTACAGTGAAACCTGCAAACACCCGTTTTGAGATGTCTCGATGAGGTAATAAGGCGCTATTTCAAATGCAAGGATTATTATTATTATTAGTGTCAGAGTGAGTGGGGGAGGCTGACCTTACCTTGACATAGAGAGCAATGTCGAAGTGCTGCGGCTCGCAGGTGAGGGTGTTGAACTCCCGGGTGAAGTTGTCGTGACTCGGGTTGGCAGAGCCCACCTGGTTCAGCCCGGTTCCGCACGGGAACACTTCCTGGTTGCCGTGCTCCGAGCTGCCATGCTCTGAGCCGCCGTGCTCCGACCCGCCGTGATCCGAGCTGCTGTGATCCGAGCCGTGATGGTCTGAGCCATGATGGTCTGAACCGTGGTGGTCTGAGCCAAAGTGATCTGAGCCATGGAGGTCTGAGCCAAAGTGCTCTGAGCCATGATGGTCTGAGCCATGATGGTCAGAGCCATGATGGTCAGAGCTGCTGTGCTCAGAGCCCAGCTGGTGGCCAGAGTCCTGTTGCTCGCTCTCGGAGCTGGAGGAGGAGGAGGAGGAGGAGGAGGAGTGAGAGCGAGATCGGGGCACTTGGTCATACTCCACCTCTCCTCTCTGCGGGCTGTTCTGGTAGATGTTCTCCATCTCTGGCACCTCGTAAGTGTTTTCGTAATCGCCGTTCTGCATGGCTTTTCTCGTTCCTGGAGGGCTTGGCTTGGCTTTGTTTTGTCTTTTTTTTAAAAAATCAATTGAAATGTTATTTCTCTCAACAGAAAGGAGGGACAGAGAGAGAGAGACTTGCAAAAGTGAACCTGCGACAAAGGTGCTGGCTGGTGTGGCTGGGAGTGAGTGTGTGGGAGGAGGAGGAGGGAAGTAGGCAGTGATCTGCTAAAACTATAATGATAAACCCTCTGGCACAGCTGCGATTGGAGCTCAGCAATAACACAAGGTCCTAGGTGAGAGAGAGAGAGAGCGCTGGAAGAGGCTGCAGGTGATGTGGTTTCTGCCAGTGTGATCACAGCTCAAAGGTTCCCTCTTCTGCAGGGCTGGCAGTGCAGCGTGAGCACATAACTTGAGCTCTATTCACAATAATAATCCTTGCATTTGATGTAACGCCTTATCACATCTTCGAGACGTCTCACAGAGCTTCACAGAATGTACTGTAAAGTGAATTCACTGTATATATGTAGGCGAAGCGCGGCAGCCAATGGCGCACAGCAGTGTCCCACAAACAGTCGTGAATTGAGTGTCCAATTTATTATTATTTTTTTGAAGGAATTGTTACCCTCGGAAAACGGATCCTCCAATCGACTAACAAACGGGTTCCTACTTACTGCTAGGTAAACAGCAGCGTGTGGAGTAAGGAAACTTGTCCAACATTCGCCCTGCCGGGAATCAAACCCAGGTCTCTCGTTTGCAGGGCGAGTACTCTAACCACTGAGCTATAGGACTACATAGTAGTCTGATTTGCTAATTAATGCATATATAATAATAATCCTTGCATTTGATATAGCGTCTTATATGAGTCTTATAGCGTCTTATATTATACATCCTAACAACGTCTACGTAAAACAAATTTCTTCTAATCTCTTGCTCTCTTTAGCTATCAACTCACTGACCTATGGAAATAATTTTTCTCTGTATACATTATATAAAATCCCTCATTATTTTAAAACCCTCTAGCAGGTTTTTGCTCAACCTATTCCATTGAGACATCTCAAAGTGCTTCACAGATTATATGTACTTTTTTACTTATTTTTGGTCAGCCAGGTGTCTGACACATGTAGAAACCCATCACCGTGCTTAAGAGCATCTAAACCAAACTGAGAATTGCGTGCATCCCTCCTACATGAGCAAATTCCAGAGATAGATTGTTGGAATGGAATGCACACTCTCTCCCTGGAGGGATATAATTCCGGAAAGTATTAGGCACAGATTGGCAAGAGCAAGGGCTTAGGGACCCGGTGTGCGCATTGGGGTACTGCTGGAGTCTATATGTACAAAATATATACAGTACCTGAAAGCTAATATGGATTCTACCTCAACCATCATTCTAGGTAGGGCACTCCACATCCTAACAACGTCTACGTAAAACAAATTTCTTCTAATCTCTTGCTCTCTTTAGCTATCAACTCACTGACCTATGGAAATAATTTTTCTCTGTATACATTATTTAAAATCCCTCATTATTTTAAAACCCTCTAGCAGGTTTTTGCTCAACCTATTCTATTCTAGGGAAAACAGCCCTAGTTCGTCCAGGCTCTTCTCATAAGTAAAACCTCTCATTGGTGTTATCACCTTAGTGAATATCCTCTGCAGTTTCTCCATGGCCTTCATGTTGGGTTGCCCCCAAACTGGACAGAATACTCCAGGACCTTATTCCTTTGTTTAATACATATAAAATGCAATAATGGAACTTACATCAACAAGCATTCACTTAAAACATCTTTGGGATAAAATAACACATGGCTCACTCTTTCAACTTTGACCCACCGACCTAAGGGAACGATTGCCAAATGCTTTTACTGGTGAATACAATATCTCTTTGGAAGTAAGATTTGTTCCAATTTTAATATTTTATGTCAGCCTGGCTCACTTGGTAGCACTCTCACCTCTTAGATTGTGGATCCAAAGATTGTGGATTCAAGCCCCACCTTGGGACTTTGAACTCACACATTGTCTAGGCTGTGCTGTGCGGGGGGGGTGTTGCATTGTTGGAGGTGCCATCCTTCAGATGAAATGTTAAAGCAAGGTCCGGTCTACATGATTAGATTCCATGATACTATTCGAAAAGAGAAGGGAGTTTCTCCTGGTGTCCTGGCCAAGAACACCCCCTAATAAACTTGGTTATTCACTTTATGGCTGTTTGTAATAAATACTAATATTTGCATTCAATATAGTGTCTTATCACTTCATCGATTCATCTCAAAGTGCTTCACTGAATTTCACTGTCAGCGATTGCAGCAGCCAATTTGCACGCACCAATGTCCCACAAACAACCATTTTATGGACAATTTTATCTGGAGGATTGTTGACCAGTTCACTGGGAAAAACACCCCTGTCTTTTTGAACATTGCATGGTATTTTTAACCTGAACCGGGAGACAGCACTTTAATTTAATGCTTCACCCAAAGCCCTTACCTCAAACAACGCAGTCCTCCCCTAGTACTGTATTGGAGTGTCTGTCTAGAGCCCTAGACTATGAGCTCAAATGCCCAACATGGGGCATGGACCCATAACCTACTGTCTCAGAGGCACAAATCCTAACAACTGTGTCAGGCTAAATGCAAAATACTGCAGATGCTGGAAATCTGAAATAAAAACAAAAGTCGCTGGGAACACTCAGCAGGTCAGGCAGCATCTATGGAGAAAGGAAAGTGAGTCAACGTTTCGGGTCCACGACTCTTCATCAGAACTGGGGCATGTTGGGAGGGAGAGGCTTTTAATGGCTAACATAGAGGGGGGGAAGGCAGGGCAAGGAAGACAAAGGAGAAAATGGGGTAGAGGATAGGGGATGATGGGTTAAAGAAAATGCAACAAAATAGGCAGACCAGAGAGACAAAAAAGGTGTCGGGGACCCAGATGACCGTCTCCCTTCCAAAATTCCCCAGTTCTGACAAAGGGCCATGTACTTGAAACGTTGACTCACTTGGCACGGTCGAAGAGGAAGGTCTTTAGATAGGACTTGAAGGAGGCAAGAGAGGGGGTGAGGTGGAGGGATTGCGGGATAGAGTTCCAGAGTGTGGGGGCAGAGATATTTAATGCCTAACAGCCAATGGTGGTGCGGGAAGTTCAGGGGACCTGAAGCAGACCGGTATCTGCCAAGCAGAGGGAGCAGACAGCTTGATATGGGGTTAGGAGGTCGGAGAGGTAGGGGCAGCGAGACTGTGGAGGGCTTTGAAGGTGAGAACTAGGGTTTTGTACTTGATTCTCTGAGGGATGGGGAGCCAGTGAAGTCGGGCAAGAACGGGGATAATTAGTTCGCAATAAAAAGGTGTCACTTGTGTAATATTTATCATAATAATAATTACATGTATGTTTTTTTTCGATTCTTCTATCACCAAAATAAACATCATTGCCCCTTAACTATTGTTATCAATCCAGAGAAGATATTTACCCTACATTTTTAAGAGTACAGATAAAACTACAGTTTGCAACAACCTAGATTCATAGAGAGCCCTTCAAGCATTGTAATGTCTTGGAGTGCTGCATAACGGCAGGGTGGGACAGCGAGCGAGGGGAGCAGTCAAGAGGCAAGTCTAAAAGAGGGATTTAAAGATAGATCAAGAAGGGTTGAGGCAGAGAGATAGAGGCAGGGAGTTCCAGAGGTTAGAGGTGTAATAACTCAAGGCATGGCCACCAATACATGGTGACGAAGGGGAGATCTGGGGGTAGGAGAGTAATAGGCCCCCAAATAAAATTGGTCACTCAACTCCATGGCTGTTTATGGAACATTGTTGTGCGCAACTGTCTGCTGTGTTTCGCCCACAAAATACATAGTCACTCTACTTTATCGCATTACCTGTGAAGCGCTTTGAGACATCTCAATGACATTATAAGGCACTATATCAAATGCAAGGATTATAATGATATAATTATTATTAAGATCCTTTTAGAGATGAGTCAGTGGAGCTTGGCAATAAATATCTGTGTAGTTTCCATTGCCAGTGTAATTACAGAGTAATACAACAGCAACAACTTGAACTTATATAGCACCCTCCACGCAAGGTAGAGTCTCAGAACGCTTAACAGTGGTGGAGCCTGACTCCGAGCCGGGGGGAGGAGGGGACACACACCTATATAGCAAATATTACATCAGGAGACATCTTAATTTGGAGGACATCTTGAATTTGTGGTGGGATGTGTGACTTGTGGAGGACGTAGATCCTCCACAAGGCACACAATCCACCACAAATTCAATTTAGGTACAGTACTTATTTCCTGTGGCTAACTGGGCTGGTTCCAAATGTGTTGCTGACACTGCTCTGCATTGGCCACTGGGAGGCTCGTGAACACAGTCCAGCCTATGTGGCCCCATCCCCACCACTAGTCCAAGAGTTTATCTATATTTTTCCATCTGATTGCAAAAGGTTTGAAGGTGGATTTGAATACAAAAAAGTGTGTGGAATATGAATTAGTTGTACCAGCCTGCACAGTTTTGCAGAATCGGTTGATGAATTATGGCTCATTAACTCTACAAAGATATATGGCAGAATAGGGGGTAGGGTACAGAAACATTTTTAACTTGTACATCTTTAGTTCAATCATCACATATATGGTATTATTTTATGTAAAATATACAGCTGCATGCACACAAATATAGCAAGTGTTAATATAATTGATACAGGTGAGGTCACTGGAAGTCACTGCTGTTCCACATGAACATGTTACAATCAAAGCTCAGGATGGATGTCGGATAGGATGGGAACAACGGAAGATAGTACACAGATGTCATGTCACTTGCAAAACATTTTGGTCAGAATCTATGCTTGGCGCTGCCAGTCTTACAAACATTTGTTGGATGTGATTACACTTCAGACTTTATTTGAAAGGGAAAGGTTCGTCCACTAGAGCTTGTTGGAAAATCTGAACCCTTTCGTCAAGCTTTTGGATATCTTGGAACGTCAGAAAATGTTGATCAGCTTACAGAGATATTAGAGGAGTTCGTTTATGCTCAGTGTTGCAGACCATGCAAAGCGCAAACAAACACCTCTTAACATTTCTGTTACAACAATAAACCTTCTCTGACAAAGTTTCTCTAACAAAGCTCTGTATTGGCAAGCCAAAACTTGAGGAAGTGTGATATGCTATTTTCAGGGAAAAGTATGCTCCAACAAATCCCAATAAGCCTCTGGAGAAGACGAAAGGTGCTGTTTCTAGCATCCAGCACATTCAGTCTTGATTCTGAAAACCAA